CAATAAACTTTGACGAAAATAAATCTTATGAGAAGGAATGTCAATGATTGTGTTCTAATCTGTGATAACTGAAGATGCTTCCATAGTAAGCTTGATCAATTTATTCTGTGGCCAGATGTAGTTCACAAGGTACTTGTTTGAATATGACAGTCAAATGCACCATAGCATCCTCGTTGCTTATCCCTGATCCACACTGTTACGATCAGTATTGCAATCCTACTGCTGAATGCTACTATATTCATCATTGTGTGAATGAGGTATTGGTTTAGAACTTTTTGAAATTACTGGACGGTGAGAAATATGGAGATTACAATAACGAATGTAACTGTTATTGCAAGGGTCTGACAGCTCAGATTTTAATTATAAAGAACTGGTAATTCAAGTTATAATACTTCATAATTGTTTATTATGAAGCTAGTACACAGAATATGATTGATCATTAGTAACTTAATGTCAAAGCCTAAACGTAAGTATTGTGAAGTACTTCGAAAACAAAGAGCTTTAACATGAAATAACACAGGAGATAAGTGGAAAAGAAAAGTGCATAACACGAAAACAAACGAGAGAATAGGATACGTTGAGGGTCTTCTTCGGTTCATAAACTATTGAGTTTAACAGATGTGCTTTACTGGAACACTGATATTAACAAAAGAGAGGATGGATTATAAACCTGTGCACCTTGAAAACCTCAATACAAATCTAGACTATGAACACAATGTCTAAAGTAGTAGTAATAATAATAATTACAATCTCTAGATTAATGATGGGAGATATACATTGTCCTAAGATTAGTTATCGTCTATCTAGTTTAGAAGTATTTGAAGTTGAATTTCAGATGATACTTAACGCAAAAGCTAACTTTGCCAGGAAATTATAACTATGCAATCTTTTTGCAGTCAAAAGAAGGATGGAATATCAAAACTCCAGGACACTTTCGTATGATGAGGAAAAAGACGAAATGTTTTCTTGACACAATGATCTTGTTTCATAACATTGAAGCTACTTGGTCTACTTTACAGGGTTCTTTCAACAGCACAAAGTAGTCGTTAGCAGACCAAATAAAGTAGAATATCATGATAATTCCAAATGAATTTGCTTAGATTTTGGAGAGGATTTATCAATAAGACTCAACTGTTGCATCAGTTCAGAGCATGTCACACTTCCAAGGTTTGGAAACTTGATATTCTTTATCCGAACTGCTAGGTGGTATGGCTTTTGTTTTTCAGAGTGGGTAGAAACAGGTGGGTTTCAGCACCAAGTTAGTGTGGACCGGATTAGGAAGTCGTATGGTTGAGATGTGGATTTATGAAAGATATCTGCTCAGACACCAGTCATGAAGGTAATCTCTGAATCAGGCTGACACAGAGGTAGGCATATAAGTAAAATTATTAGACCCCCTAGATTTGTCACTGACATGCGTTGGAGGAAGATGATTGCACTCCTTTCTTAGACATACTTATTAATTGATGGCAAGATCATTTCCTAAAAAGATCGGTAAGTAGAACAGTATCTGAATTGTCTCACTCTCTGTCCAACCCAGTACAAGCGAATTATATATATAGGTCTTGGGATCATTAAGGGTTGGGAGAACCGTTCGACTGGCCAACAGCCACCCTTCATTTGTCGAATATCCAGTACGGACCTGAATGGGAGGTGGATGTCATTTCTTATTAGATTTGTTTATTTGATATATATAGCACACAGCGATACAGTATTATTTACTTCATGACGTTTCGAACATAAATTTTTGCGCCTAATCATATCAATGTAATCAAACTACTTTCGACATTCGCGTTTCATATTCCTATCGCCTCTTATTCTTTGTTTTCGTTGGTAATAAATTCTTTCATATTTCTGGTATGGGTGTTGCATCATCCCTATGACATCCGTTGGTTGTTGATTCGATGAAAAAAGATTCAGTAATCAATCTCTCTCTACACCTAATTACATTTGATATAAGTACAGTGGTTTTACTCCACCTCATTGTGTGTTAATGTATGCTTTGCACTGGTCGAGTGTTATTCTAGATTGTTGATTTTATTCGGGTCTGTCATTCTATATTTCGCTAAATTCCTACGTCCTGCTAACTGACCCCGACCGGTTAGTTTGACCTATACACTTGACCATACAGTCACTGTATGGGATTTGGTAGATTAGATTGTTTAATTGGATCTATCAGATCATTAAGCCGACAAGGTTTATCTCTGTGTGGGTTTGTAGGTTTAAATGCCACTCTAATTTCAGCCTTGCTGAGAATCCTAACAGATATCTAGACTTCATCTCATCTGATGTTAGTTAAGATGGATTTAGCCAGAAGTCTAATATAATAGAGCTAGAAAACCCAGTAGTCAATGTAAGGACTTAAACAAGGAATTGAAACACATAAAAGAGGCGTTGCTAATTATCCTCTACCATTTATTAAAAAAATTCGTACGAAGATATGAAAAAAAATGATAACAGTAATATGAATACGAATAACAGTGACAACATAAGTAGAGATAAGTTCAAAGCCACTGTCGTGTTACTTGATAAAGAAGGAACATCAGAAACTTTACGTAGGACTGTCAACAAGGCTGGAATTAGGGTAACATTTAAGCCTACTATTGTGCACATTGTATATGATGCGTAAAATAATGACCAATAATCCATTTTCACCATCCGAAAGTACGTACTTGGATGTACTTTGCTACACTTTTTAACTGCAGATAACCTGGTTATTCAGGTTTGTTAGCCGATAGCGACACAGTACACATCATATGATACAATATAGTAATAAATGTTCATAGTGAAACTGATAAATGGGAATAAATGATTAACATAAATTCCTATCCTATAGACAATTTAACTGAATTGATGAAAACAAACACTTGACAATCGTAAACGTATCTAAAACAACTGTTGGTAATATATCAAAACATAACGGAGTTCTGTTCTACAATGATGAGGACAAACCAAGGGAGGCAAATATACTACACAAAATGTACCTTAATGGTGAAAAGACCTATTTGAACCACATTACACTAATTATAAACTATTTAACATAATATCAAAGAAAAGTTCAGGAATATGTTCAGATAAGCCTCTTGTCAAAAAAAGCATTTCAACTGTTAGATATAATTGAAGGTGACATAAGTGAATCATTTATCTATCTTGTAATGATAGAAGGTAGATGAAGTGCTTCAGATAAACATCAAAAGATATTTGACCAAGTCGTGAGCCGAATACTGAAGATTATGCATTCGTGAATTAGTTTCCAACCATTGATAGGCATAAGTACAAATGATTTTACTGAATCTAACACGTAGATCATTCGCGGACATCATGCGCCGAACACTCGAGTGGAACTCAGATGGGAAACGGCAAGTTGGGCGTCAGAGGGCGACATGGAGGAGATTGTGTGAAGAAGAAATGAGAGCTTCTGGGCTGTCGTGGAGCCAGGTTCAAAAGATTGCAGAGAACAGAGTGAAATGGAGGCGTGCTACTGAAGCCCTATGTTCCTCTAGGAACCCAAGGGACAAATAATAATAACACGTAGATCCTCTGAATTTACTACAGTCAAACAACTTCACCATGGGAGTTATATGAACAATGAGCCTATGAATGGTCTGAAATTGCTGTAGTGGTAATATATTAATATGATTGCATAAATGTTTTATTCCACGTTGCTTTAACCTACTCCACTTAACTTCTTATTTATACTATACCTGAAGTTTTTTCTACACGTTAGTGAGTGGCACATTTAATCACTACGCAAAATTAGTGCCTATTCCCTCTCGATATCTTAGAAATCTCACTTCTTAAGTCATTTCCATAATTCAGTTCTTCGTTATTTAGCGAAGTTTCTTTCATATTCACTGCTCGCACTTACCCTATACATATATCGAGTTCATTAATTCTTTGTTTTAGCCTGTCTGTAGCTGCAAAATGAAAAAGATCCATCTTTTTGTGCAGACTATGCTGTTCTTCCTTTCAAGAAGAAAAGGTCCAGTATAGAAATATCCAATAATTGCCTCCTAGTCTGTTTCTTATCCATATCAAAATCGTTAAGGTATTTCCATAGTTGTTCACATGTTTGTACTCATTGTTTATTCTAGTAGACTGTTGCACTTACCGCTTGGTTACAGGATTTTTGCAGCAGTATTGGGATACGATGACATTGAAGAATGGAAGGTTTTTGCTATGTAGTAAAAACAAACCATAACATCCTCAAGAAAAGCTACTGAAATACCAACGAAAAAAGTTTCACAGTTAACAAATTTCTTAAACTTGTGTTGATTATGTTATGATTATGTAAAAATGAAAGCTTTAAAATCAAGCTATACAACCCAAGAAAAGGCCAAAGTAATATTTTAAGCTGCGAACGTTGTTGCTATCAGAAAAACAAAACATCTGTACACTTATATATATATGTTTGCAACAGGCCAACACTTACATCCAGTCAGGTGAAAATCATAAATGATTAGCTACCGAATTAGTACTCCTTTATGAGATATTTCCTAGACAGATTAACTCATACCAACTGCATTAGAAATGTGCACCAAATAATACCGGTGGAAAGTGAACAAGGAGTAATAGCGTATCTACAGACTACATGTAATGCAGCTCAACTAGATCCGGATGTGAAAAATAGGCTATGAGTCATAATTACTGTCATCTGTAGGCAGAGCCTTGGCCCAGTGGTTTAAGGGATGACTAAACATCACTGGGTCACGTGTTCGAGCTCCGCCCCTCCTACCGAGGTTATGGCAACCAGATAGTATCACTAGCCTTCACACAATAGGTGTAGCTCATCGCCTACCGCATAGATGTGCACAAGGTGGCTGACTGCATCTCGTTCATCTCTAGGTCAATCTTACCAATGAGTGTCAAGAAAGACGAAACGTAAGTGAAATACAGCTCCCTACCAATACTTTTTGACCACTGATCTACTCTATGAGGTTTACGTATTCCTATATCAGGTCTACAATATCAGCAAACACAATAGTAAAATAAAAACTAACTGGAATAGAATGTTCTTTTATTTTACTTAAGAAAGATCACTTTCACTTGAACTGGTGAATTTTCAACGCAGTTGTGAAAAATACAAAAAGGTCTCTGATCACTCCTACGCAGACAATGATCCACAGGAAGACGGTTTCCAGAGTTATGCACGTTTAGGGAAACCAGGTCGTACAGGCATGACGTAGTTTGCAGCAGCTTGATATTGCAACTGGTAAGCCAAGGGGTGTATTTTAAAGCCAAACAACCTACAAGAAAATGAACACAGTGTTTAAAATATGAGAATGCAGGCTTTTTCATGACACCGTGGTATAGGGTAACAAGTCACATAACTGATGATGACTGCGTTTTATGGAATTAAGTAGACAAAGCGGGTTTGATTTCGTATATCTGAACAATTTAATTTGCGCACTGGCAATCTGAACACAATACACACAACTATTTTCACGAGCTAGAATCCACAACGAGCAGTTCTGCTCTGCGTCTGTGAAACCTGGCCTCTTCGAGCTGAAGATGTATGAAGACTCTGTGTGTTTGATTGTTGTTGTTTCCGTAGGATTTCTCATACCCGGTGACAACACCACGTAAGTAATCCTGAGGTATGACAGAATCCGTTAGGGCATGATGGAAAAAATGAAGTCATCTGGATACACCAGCAACAGTGACTTGGACATGTGTTACGCATTTCGTTCCAACGACTTCCGCGCCGTTCATTGGTCGCTAGCCCTGAAACTGAATGGAAGAAATGAGCGGGGCTGGTCAGTGTCCGAAATGGCGGAGTGGGATAAAACATAGTTGTATCGGGTTGACGTCTGTTACCCTACTAATTATTCGATTCCTGCTAAGTTCTTCCTTTTATCCACTTCCCTTCGCTTTATATATTTAGTATAGCGTAATATTATTTCATGTGTGGCGCATTGCTTGATGCCCTTGCAGTGCCAGATGCGTGTGCTCGAATAATAATAATAATAATAAAAATAATAATAATAATAATAATAATAATAAAATAATGTGATTCTGACTATTGAATAACATCAAATATCCTTGTACTTGGCGCAATAAAGTTTCATAATCAACAGGTTGATGACACTCCTCATCTTCAGCTGAGATCACTGAGACGACAATTAGCCAGCTTGAGGACAAGTTTCCATGCAACATTCAAACAAAAACTGTGTACTGCTCTTCCTGTAACACAACCAGCTGGAAAGTTGTTGCAGTACGGCTTTTGAAACTTATAAGTCTATTAATTTTTACAAAGAGACAAAAGCAACAAACTATTCTCTATCAACTTTCTCTCAAGTCAGTGGATAGTAGATGCTGATAAACTAGGCAGTGAGAAATACTTACAGTCTGAGAAATGATTGTATCAAACCGTTTAAACTTTGTCAGCTGAAGCTGAAAGATGAACACTCAAACGCATAGATCACAACACCTTCAAAGAAGACTAGTACGCTGAATAAATAGAAAGTAATAATGATCGCTTCGGTGTGAGACATTAGGAGAAAAGCAAAGGAAAGCTCTGTTTCATCGAGGTTTCATGCTTACTGGCATTCATCAGCAAGACAGTCTGCATTCATGAGAAGATCTACACGTTTCTTCAGACACTCGAACCTACATCAATGTGTCGAAGTCAGAGATCTTAGAATTAAGCTATCCAAGTCAAGACTGACCACTGTATGAGTGGATTACGTACATGAATGGTTCATCACATGATGACTGATATAGCTATCAAGTACTCAGCATTGGTCTCAGTTTATCGATCAAGTCTGTAATGTCATCAATAACATTCAGTATCAAAGCGAAGTGTACTATAGCACTGCTTTACTCAACCAATCACAGTGACAAGCTCATAGCGAAGAATACCTGCTCACATGTAATTGTTATAACAGATCTGTTTTATGTACGCATATATCAAGGGACAAATTGCGATAAATACTTCAGAATTCAGGGTACTTATTATTTACGATAAGATTACTTTACTGATTTACAAAAACATGTAACTAAGCTTTCTCATCAAGATTTGGAGAAACCAATCACAAGATTCTTCGTACAGCCGTAAGTTTCTAATGGGTGATTCTCTCTATATAGAGGTGATACTCACTAGCATTGCCTGTAGAAAATAAGCAGAGAAAATCACTAAAAGACGTGGATCTGAAATTCAGAAGTGGCAAATTGGTGAAAATCATCTTTCAAGCATTTCATGTGACTTATTTCTGAACCAATATGAACATCATCCATTATATGAATATTTGAAGGCGTTTGCTTTCTTTATCCTACACTTTATCTTGGTCAAAACCATACATCGAAGAGAAATTCGATCAGCTGAATAATAACCATGGTTTGACTGGATCCGTTAAAACGACTACTTTCTTTTCGTGAAAACTCCAAAACTTATCACTGAATAGAATAAATAAATGAGATGAAAAACCAAATAAACGTGACACTGAACGTACAACTAGTGTTATATAAAACCTACCTTGCAGTAAACTGCTTGCTAGCTCGCTTCGGCCTATACTCTGGATGGACTAAGAACAACATATGCGGAAAACCAGTACCAAAATATGCTCCATCTGTGTGGTGATGACGAGTAGATTTTGGTGTATATGTATCCTGGCACCTGGGACAATATATTTTGACCATAGCTTCACCTGGGACATCTGACAAACCGACTGGTAAACAAGGCTGACTTTCACAGTATACCTTAATTGATGAAAAACGCAACAATGATAAGTGCAGTTACATAGTCAAGCATCCAGGTAACCACAGTGCAAGCACCACACAATACATTCAGAACTAGAGTTTTAGCTGGCAATTATTTCATAGTCATGCCAAACATGGTTATAAGTGCACCACAACTTCACAAGGAAATGAAGTAATTGGTTGTGCATGGATATTTATAAAGTTCAGCACTGTATGTATCTTACTTGATTGTTTGACTTCTTCTGTTTGCTTGCAGTGCGTCAAGGTCACGTCATCGTGATTAGTTGGCCTCTTCTGTTTGACTGAGGTGATGAAAGTCGCGTTGATCATATATATATATATATATATATATATATATATATATATATATATATATATATGCATGCAGATTAGCCGGTTGGACTCCATGGGACGAGAGAAACCAGGGTTGGAGACTAGGTGATATGACTCAGAACCGATGTCAGAGGCGCAGGTGCAGAAACGCATTATCCTCATCCTAACCACTATACTTAATTGTATCATTTTTTTATTCTCCCTTCCTCTCTTTTATTACTTTCTACTTCCTTTGACCGATTTTTATTTACTTCTTCATCTTCCATTTTATTGCCTTGTTACTTGATGTGCTGATTTGAGATATGGCAACTTGGGCCGTTACGCAGTAATCCCTGATCCTATGTTGATTTCGATGATGATATATATTCTGAATAATCTTTACTTTTCGAAAGAACTTTGATTTTATGGTGAGAATGATGTTTCACGTATGAGTATACCTTTCTTTTTAGCTTGTTACAGTGTTTAACGAACCGCTATTAATTATCAAACAACACCTAGACATTTTAAAAATGTACAGATTTGGAACTGCGGAGTTTCGAGAATAAAATCATCGAAGAGTGCCTTTGCTGGAATACTCTTTTCTCTTTTACAACTTGATGTATATGATTTTGTATGTGAAAAAAGTATACGCAGAAAGACCAACTAACAAACAAGATACGTCAAAGTTTACTTTCTTTGTATAAGAGTAAGTGGAAAGTTTGCCTTTGCCTAAAATTGAAGCATTTGGGTTATTAAGTGAGATAACGAATTTGTATTGCTTTCACTGAATTTAAAACCATATCGTCTAACCTCTTGAATCACCAATTTTGTCACACTGAAGACTTTAATTATCATGGTTACAGTTCGTTAAATTGCTTAGATCATTAATATGTGACTTTTTAGTTGATAACATTCAGGTCTGTCGTTCTTCGGGCTTAACTTATCCTATTCAGAATTCAACATACCACGTTGCGGAAGACGTTGGCAACGGATTTTGCAACCATCTCAATCGTCATACATCTATGATCTATACGAACTCCCTGCTCTGCGAAGTGTGAAACAGATTATTGTTTATACTTAAGAAAACATGGGATATTGTATCAATTCTAACCCATTCACCAAAGTACCAAAAATAGACGAGACGGGTTATCAGAATCCCAAATCCCCTTGTTTCATATAGAGGAATAATGCTAAAACCAATTTTAATACATCATACTAACAAAGAATAAAGCACACTTTTTCTCAGTGTCTACCCAAGTTGTTTATTCTTCAAGTCAATCTTTTCTGACGCACAAGAAATCCTGAGAATTACTAGAGTAAAAAAAATGATCAGTTCACTATATAATCAAGTAATTCAAATCATTGTTACATAGCATATGTACATGTAGAACTTCAGCTTAACAGGTCTGTAAACTCAGTTCTCAATCAATCGGCGTATTAAAAGTCTAAGTCTACTATACTTATCGCTACATAGTCATAAGGAGCTGTTAGTTCGGTAAACAAACCTACGGTTTCTAAGCTGGTATGCGAAACAGTATGCGGTCACAAAATTTCATTCGCTTGCAAGCGATGTACGACGCCTACTTACGTTAAATCTGTATACAGTTTGCAAAATTAAGACAAAACAATTCATGACCACGCTTCGAAACTTCGTGTAAACTACAAAGATTGTAGGGTAGCACTGTCATAGAAAACATATTTTAAGCAGAATAATTCCGGAACGAAAAAATCTCTTTTTAGTAAATCACTGCGGAATTATATGAAGCAATTAACATAGAGTTCTGTATTCAGACAGAAAAAGACTTACTTACCCTGGGACAGTAACCAAAATCGCCCTGTTGCCATTTTGCTACCATAATACAAATCCCACGATTCGTCAAAATATATCTTGAATGTATCAATCCATAAAGCATCTCAGCAGCCTGTTCTATGAGATCCGTATTCTCTGGATTGTCAGAAGGATCTAAAATTAGAGGGAATACATTTGATATTCATTGAAATGACTTTAGAGTCATCATAATGGGTTAGATATACTCACACCTTATTATCTCAAAGATTTGAGTCGTTTTATTATTTCTTATTTAGGCTGTTCTTTCTGTCCTTATATCGCTTTTGTTTATCTCAATATTATTTTATTCCTTCTTCCGAGAAAATATGAGTTGGTCAGAAAATTATCAGTGACAGCATAACTGAACCTAAAGACACCAGTGCTGCATACAAAACACTCTGGAAGAAGGGAAGTTAGTGGATAAATCGTAGATATCAGTAGTCTCGTATCAACGAACGAATGTACAACAATTCACTTCATATGGATTCATATGTCCTTGAGTAATGAAAGAAAAAAAGAAGGGATCTAAGTCGTGTGGAATCATTACAAGTTACTTGGGTTCATTAAAAATTTAGTTCGAGAAGGTGTGGTTGACAATACTATAACTGAAATGGGTTAGGAGTTAATTTGAGTATAGTAACTTCTGAAATCCTATGATTAACAATTATACAATGTTAGCTTAGCGTTCATAAACTGAGCATTTGAGAGAATCGAAGTTTCAGTTATAGTAACATAAGAACTTTTTATGTTACTTCCTGACAGATTTTGGATAAGAAGACAATAAATTGTCTTGTCAGATATAATATTAGTGTGGGACTGTAGACTTTAAAACATTCTGCAGAAAATGTTTCAAAGACAATAAATAAAAGTAGCAAAACAAATTTGATTTTTGGCGGGAAATGTCATTCCCGACCGATAGCTGCTACCTTGACGTGGTGGTCGGGCTTGCATATCACAATGACCCAACGAGCTATGCTGGTGGAACGCTTGTTCCCTCGAGGTCCTACCATACCAGAAAGGTCTGTTGGGTAGTGGTTAGACGAAAAGCAGTTACCGTTATAGTGTAAATTGCTACACTATGATGGGGGTCTGAGGGCGAAGTCGTACTGCTGCTAGCTGGATGGGGTGTGACAGCAGTAAGGTGTTTCCCTTGGATGACCAGCAGTGCCAAGCTGATGCTGCCTTCTCAGTGGAAGGGGGGGTTAGAAAAGGTCGGCCCCAAAAATAACACACTCCACCACGCCCCACGGTCTGCCGGGCCGGCGGTGTTGGTTCACTTGTCGTTTCCTTTCGCTCATCCGGCCCCAAAAATACAAAAATTCAAAATAATCATACTCAAAAGGCTGGGTGTGACAGGCCTCAAGCAGATGTCCGATGGGCTCTGCGGTCACACAAATCTCTTTCAGGTACCTTAAGAAGAAATAGCCTTCCACGGTGTGGGCAGCCGGGAAGTGTCAACCGCCCTCACAACTCTGTCAGCACCCAAGTTTCTTCTGACTGCTATCCTCCTCCTCCATCATTACCTTCTAATCTTCCTTCACGTCTCTTAATTAATGATGCTGCATCATCTTCAATTTCTCCTACCTCTGCAGCCTTCGACAACGATCTGAGTCCACAGAACAGCATCCCTGGTCTCCTTAAACCACGCTCCAAATTACATATTGGAGCCTTCAATGTCCGCACCCTCCGTCAAATTGGCCAACAGGCTTCGTTGGCAAAGACTCTAGCAACTCGGGCATGGATGTGTGCTGTGTTTGTGAGACACGCATACAGGACCCAAGTGTGGTTATTCACCTGACCTCTCCTGACCAATCTGGTGAATCTACAAAATTCACCCTTCGAGTTTCTGGAGATTCGATAGCTAGCTCTCGTGGTCTTGCAGGTGTAGGTATAGCATTAAGCACCAGGGCAGAAAACTCACTACTAGACTGGATCCCAGTTGATAGTCGCCTCTGCGCTATGAGGCTGAACGGCACAGTGAGAACTAAAAGGAATAGTGAGACTCGCCGTTGTCTCTTTGTAATCTCTGCTTACGCACCCACTGACTGTAGTTCGGATGAAGTGAAGGACGAGTTCTACCATAAACTGTCTAACCTCCTCTCGAAAGCCAAACGTTCGGACGTAGTGGTTGTTGCAGGTGACCTCAACGCACAGGTGGGTAGACTGAGTGAGGCAGAAAGGCACTTAGGTGGCACTTTCGGAATCCCAGCTGAACGTACAGATAACGGTGATCGCCTATTACAACTATGCTCAGATAACCGCCTATTTTTAGCCAGCACAAATTTCAGACATAAAGAAAGGCACTGTCTGACCTGGCGTCCACCGAGCTCGACTCAGCGATGGACACAGATAGACCACATTGCTATTAGTCATCGCTGGAGAGGATCGGTGGAAGACTGCCGCTCCTTCTGGAGTACGTGTTTGGACAGCGATCATGCGTTGGTCCGAGCACGTATATGCCTGCGTCTCAATGGACGTAGAAAAAATTTGGCAACAAAACCACTACGAGTTCTGCTGGACAACGAAAACACCAAAGCCGTGTTCAGTGAGAAGTTGGCTAGGCAGTTATCGGAACAAAAGACTGTCACTCATCCAGAAGAAGCTTGGTGCCATCTTCAGTCTACTGTAAAAGCAGCACTGGAGACTGTAGCCGACTCCAAGATAATGGCTAAAAAGAGCCAGTGGATATCAGCAGCTTCTTCCAAACTAATGGATGCACGTGAATGCATCCCTGCAGGCTCTGAGTACAATGAAGAGCGAGCGCAACTTAAAAATAAACTGACGAAAAGTCTGCGCAACGATCGTGAACAGTGGTGGGCAGCAAAGGCTAAAGAGATGGAAAAGGCAGCGGCGATCGGTAACAGTAGACAGTTATTTAGACTTATTAAGGAGACTGGGGGGAAATGGTCAACAACAGTTAGTGAGGTTATAGCGGAGAAGGACGGATCGGCGATTCACTCGCAGGGAAGGCGACTGGGACGATGGGCAGAACACTTTGAGGAACAGTTTAACTGGCCTCCAGCCACCATTGCGCTGCCCGCTATCCAGTCGGACCCTGAATGGGACATAGAGACAGGTCCCCCAACACTAGAAGAAGTTGAGAAAGCGGTAGGTAGCCTGAAACGGGGAAGGGCAGCAGGACCAGACGGACTACCTGCTGAGGTATACAAGAATGGTGGTAGAGTTCTCTTAGTCAGGCTAACGGAAGTGTTAGCCAGTATATGGGAATCAAATACGATCCCCTCCGACTGGTCTAAGTCACTGATCATCCCAGTCTTCAAGAAAGGCGAGAAGTCCTCTTGTGATAACCACAGAGGAATCAGCCTGACAAACATAGTGTCTAAGATCCTAAGTTCTATAATTCTCCGACGCCTGAGTGGAGCTCGGGAACAGCAAGCCCGAGAAAACCAGGCAGGCTTTAGACCTGGCCGTGGATGTATCGACCAAATATTCACACTGCGCCAGGTCCTGGAACATAGGCATGCTTACAGACGCCCGACAATAGCTGTATTTCTCGACCTGAAGGCGGCATTTGACTCCGTTGATCGAGAAGTCTTATGGCAGTGTCTGTCACTGAAAGGCGTGCCTAGTAAGTACATCACCTTATTGAAAGCTCTCTACTCGAACACTTGTGGGCATGTTAGAGCCTATGGTGAGTTGTCCAGGGAGCTATACTCATCAAGTGGTGTCCGTCAAGGATGCCCACTATCCCCATTCTTATTTAATTTTATCATAGATATTCTTATGGAGGTTTCCCTCTCGTCACCTAATTACAAAGACGTTGACCGGATCACAGGTGAATTTTCCTTAGATCTAGAATATGCAGATGACATAGTCCTGTTAGGTGAAGACGCTGACAAGATGCAGAGTCTTCTGAACACTTTGAGTGGGAATTTGAGAATGTTTGGGATGCGATTTTCACCACCCAAATGCAAATTTTTGCTCCAGGACTGGTCTTCAGCGGTACCGCGGTTAACAATAGAGAGTGAAGTGGTTGAGTGTGTTGACCACTTCACTTACCTGGGAAGTAGGATCAACTCCGGTGGGTTAGTTGCCGATGAGATTTCTGCACGGATACAAAAGGCTCGATTGGCTTTTGCCAATTTGCGCCACCTATGGCGCCGCCGTGATATTCGTTTGTCTATTAAGGGTCGCGTGTACTGCACAGCAGTCCGCTCTGTTCTACTGTATGGCTGTGAAACATGGCCATTGAAAGTGGAAGACACAAAAAGGTTTCAGGTATTTGACCACCGTTGCCTTCGTAGTATAGGACGTATTCCGTGGTGTCACCATGTGAGTAATGCAGAAGTTAGGTGTAGAGTTTTAGGGAGAAGAGGTAAGTCAGTCGACGAGGTTGTGAACCTTCATCGACTGAGATGGTTGGGACACGTACTACGTATGCCTAGTCACCGATTGCCTCGTCACACAATGTTGGCTGAGGTGGGTTCAGGCTGGAAAAAGGCCCGAGGTGGCCAGACTAAAACATGGCACCAATGTATGAAGTCTCTGACTGTTGGTTTAAGCCATGTAGGACGATGCAGACTAGGTGGTTGGGGTCCACGGGACAAGAGGAACCAGTGGTTGGAGACCCTAGGTGATATGGCTCAGAACCGAAGTCAGTGGCGCAGATGTATACACACATTATCCTCATCTTAACAACGCTATACCGAATCTCACTATTTTGTCACTCCTCTTTCCTTTCTTCTCGTACTTTATATTTCTTTTGACTGCATTCACTTATCTTCATCCTTCACCTCACTACCTTTTTACTTGATGTGCTGATATGAGGTGTGGCAACTCGGACCGTTACGCAGTAATGCCTGGTCCTATGTTGATAATGATGATGATGATGATGGGAAATGTCATTCTCAGCAACAGATAGTTACTTAACTGCTGTTCATAAGTGAACAACCTCCACAGTATGAAGTTCAGAAAAAGTAGATTTTAAACGCTATCAACAAGAGAATGGTTCGTAACATGCTTTGTGCACAAACAGTTTTCTCCATAAGATTAACAAAAAAAGCGACACCAATTTTTGCAGGACAATCCAATAAAGTACAACGAATGATCATGATTATTGCATATATTACCATTTTCCAAATCCAGTATCATATCGAGGGCATCGCGGTACTCTGGAACCTGCTCCGATAAGCCAGTTAGATTAAATCGATCTTGAATATAATCCTCCTCCACTTCACAAAAGAACTCGTTCCCACGCAAACCACAAAACCATGAAATCCATGAAATTTCGTCGCTACTGCTCATATTGAAAAGTTAGAAATGATGCAGGTTGTGAGAAAGATTATCGTAAATTAGTGATTAACCAATTCGACTAGCAAAATGAACGATAGTCTAAAAATAAAATAGTTAAAGTAGGAGTCAAATAGGTTGAATCAAATCTTATTGGGTATGACATACGTGATAAATACTAGAAATGATGATAAAGATAGCGTGAACGATGTGTTAATACCTAATCGTACCTTCTTTACTGGGAGTATAACAAGTAATTAGTTCCTTATGATAAGATTTTGAAGAGGAATAACACACTAAAACCTTCAGGCAAAACCAATACATTGACACCGATCGACAGCTGCTACCTTCACTTGGTAGTCAGATTGCATATCATCTTGAACCAACGAGTTATACTAATAGAAACATTTGTTCCCTGAGGTCCTACCACGTTATAAATGTCCACTGGATGGAGGTGAAATAAAAAACAGTTACCACGAAAGTGCGACTACCTTACACTGTGATGGAACTCTAAGCACGAAGTACTATCGGTTCAATGGAGGCGTGACAGTACGGTGCTTTTTTAGTGGATGACTACCAGTTCATGAAGATGCAACAAAAACTCGGTCCTAAGAACATCTCTGCCCACATGGTATGTCATTTTATAGTCCGTATGCAACACAATAAAATCTAAAACCGAAACTTCCGAAAAAGCCATGTAGTTGACCACAAGCACACATCTCGCGCTCTGCGGTCGTGAACTACCTTTGCGTATACCTCAAAAGAAAGTGATTCTCCACGTCATGTGCCATCGGGAATCATAAGCCGGACTTTCAGCTCTGTCAGCACTCAGAATCAGATGATCAACCATACACGCTCATAACTGGTACTTTTTCTTCACATCTCTGTCAATATTTTACGTGGTCTTTAATTTTTTCAAATCGACAGCTCTTGATGACGATTCCTGTTTACGAAACAAAATCCCTGGTCTCATGAAACCGCGCTTCAATCCACATATTGGAGGTTCTAGTGTTTGCACCCTCTTTCAAGTTGGACAAGCTTTGCTAGCCGGAACTCTGGCATCTGAGGCGATGGATGTATTTTGTGCTTGAGATACCCAAACAGCATCCAAGCATGGTTATTCATGTAGCACGGCTAAGCCAATACAGTGAATTTCCAAACTTCACCTTTTGAGTTCCTGGCTAGTTCTCGCGGTCTTGTACTCAGTCAGTCGGCATTAACATGGGATTGGCATAACTAACTGTGTAGGAGTTTAAGTTGCTAATAAAGCGCTGAGTCCTAAGGCAGAAAGTGGACTGCTTAACTGGATCCCAGTTAACATTCACCTGTATGCTGTTCATTTGAATAGTAGTACAGTGTGAACAAAAAAGAATAGTGTGCCTCACTTTTGGTTGTCTATAATCTCTGCCTATACACATTGACTGCAGTTCGGATGCAGTGAAAGCTGAGTTCAACCGAAAAATGGATAGCCTGCCATTGAAAGTCAAACGTTCAGATGTGGTTGGCATAACAGTTGATTTGAATGTACAAATCCAAAAGCTGAGTCAAGCAGCGAGGCACTAAAAACTGAACCCAAAGGCACTCATCAACCTTGCGCACGTTTTCGCAATAAGCCAAACCTGTTGTGTGACGGCTAATGACATTACCTGTCTGTTAAACCTCGGTAGGTAAAGCGGTGCTCAAATTCGTGACACACTGGTTGGAAGTCAGAAAGGCACTACGGTGGTACGTCCTGATAGCCATCCAGACGAATAGACGACAGCGGTCGCCTTCTAAGACCATACACAGGAAGCCATCTCTTTCCAGCCAGCACAAACGTCAGACAAAGAGATAGACTATCTGGTTTGGCGTCCAGGGACCTCAACTCAACGATAAACATAAGTAAATAGACCATATCGTTATCAGTTGTCGCTGGAAGATTCCCGCTCCTTGTGGAGAACGCGATTGGTCAGTGACCAAGCGCATGTCCACGCATAAATGGACATCGAAAAACCACAGCTACGAAGCCTTTTCAAGCGTAAAAGTGGCGACTGACTCTCAGAAAAAGGTAAGAGAGGGCTATCGAATCTCAGCAGATTTTTCTAAACTAAAGGATGCATGTGAACGCACTTTTACGGGATCAAAGGAGGATGAAAAGCGGAAGCAAGTCAAATGTAGACTGACAAAGAGCATCATCATCCACCAGCTGATGATGATGCTATGATACTTAGAAGTGGTGGGCTCTAAAGCTACTATCGCCTGTTGAGCACTTAAGCTGCTCAGACACTACATTCGGTTAGAAATATCAACTGAAAAGGTAAAAGAGAATCCTAAAAACTCATGAATGAATTTCATTACTACCCACTACCAATAAAATGCCTAATTCCTACTATGTCGAAGCTGATTTCACCGAATCAGGTTTCATCGCCTTTCACTATGAAACACCAACATTCATGATAGCTTCCAATAGATCACAGTAAATAAATATTTGTCAGTGATTCGAGATGTCGTCCCACCGTCAATGTTGTGAATGAGATCTCTGCTATTTTTGCATTTTGCAGGATTGTGGCGAGAAGGTTAGGAATGGTAGTTGTAGTGGAACTGCATTACGACAAAATTAGTTTCAAGTATTTCCAGGCTTTCACTGATTCTTCAGATAATATTCACTTCCGTCAGAACCACATTGTCAGGTGATTCATTGTTAATCGATTATTCTTCACATAGCTCGCCAACTGAGAAGCACTAATCACTACCATACATTTTACTCATTCTAAAACACACTTCCATAGACTGAGGCTTGAGCAGTTGGGTGGTATCATTAGCCGTCACACCATAAATGTGCCTCTTCTTTGCGTGAAAATGCACTTATTTCTTGTTTTAAACACTCATTATTATACGAGCCGGTCACCGGATGGTAACCGATGTAGCTGTCAGATGCAGAGTGCTGCTCAGCACTAACCGGAGTCCATTTATCCAGCTCGCAATGTGGTCAGTAAGTTGAGTGGACCAACGCTGCACTGCACTTTGCTTTGATACTGAATGTTATTGATGACATTACAGACCTGATCGATAAACTGAGACCAATGCTGAGTACTTGATAGCTATATCAGTCATCATGTGATGAACCATTCATGTACGTAATCCACTCATACAGTGGTCAGTCTTGACCTGGATAGCTTAATTCTAAGATCTCTGACTTCGACACATTGATGTAGGTTCGAGTGTCTGAAGAAACGTGTAGATCTTCTCATGAATGCAGACTGTCTTGCTGATGAATGCCAGTAAGCATGAAACCTCGATGAAACAGAGCTTTCCTTTGCTTTTCTCCTAATGTCTCACACCGAAGCGATCATTATTACTTTCTATTTATTCAGCGTACTAGTCTTCTTTGAAGGTGTTGTGATCTATGCGTTTGAGTGTTCATCTTTCAGCTTCAGCTGACAAAGTTTAAACGGTTTGATACAATCATTTCTCAGACTGTAAGTATTTCTCACTGCCTAGTTTATCAGCATCTACTATCCACTGACTTGAGAGAAAGTTGATAGAGAATAGTTTGTTGCTTTTGTCTCTTTGTAAAAATTAATAGACTTATAAGTTTCAAAAGCCGTACTGCAACAACTTTCCAGCTGGTTGTGTTACAGGAAGAGCAGTACACAGTTTTTGTTTGAATGTTGCATGGAAACTTGTCCTCAAGCTGGCTAATTGTCGTCTCAGTGATCTCAGCTGAAGATGAGGAGTGTCATCAACCTGTTGATTATGAAACTTTATTGCGCCAAGTACAAGGATATTTAGTTATTCAATTGCCAGTATCAGATTACGCCTATAGAGAAAGACTAATGAGATCGTCAAGCATATTCACTCATTTCGTCTAAGTCTCTATTCACACCACTACTTGTGGTTGGAATGAACTCAATGAGAGTACAAATGTGTGCATCGGTTTTTGAATTGCACTTGTTCTAAGTGGTGGATTCGAGATAAAGCGCAAACTACATTGTTCAGATATATGAGATCAAGCCCACTTTATCTACCTAATTCCGCGAAACGCAATCACAAGTTATCTGACTTGATAAGTGACTAGTTACTCTGCACCACCATAATGTCCTGACGAAGCTCGTATTTCCACATTTTTAACGCTATGTTCACTTTCTTGTAGGTCTTTTGGCTGTAAAATACCGCACTCAGCAGCCTTCAGAACATTCATGGCGAATATGGGAATTATTCGGAAGGTAAAAGTAGGTAGTGTCTAGTTGCTAGAGAAGAGTTAGTAGATAATGTAGGTGGAGTGGTAAGTAAGAAGGAAGTAACGTTGACAGCAAACCCCAGAATCTCAAGCGTCCTTCAAGTAGTGTATCTACGTCCCCAGCAATTTAACTCGATATTAATGTTCCGACTTTGGTGACACCTTAATAGGGCCTTACTACTAAGACCTCTGACTAAAGAAGCTGAACCCATAAACAGCTTGGAAGTCACATCTGAGTTAATGAGTCAAGACCCTGATATCTAGTATGTTTAAAATGAAGTTTTTTGTTGAGTATTCAATTATATTCGGTCATGGTACCATGATCGATAATAGGGCCTTACTACTAAGACCTCTGACTAAAGAAGCTGAACCCATAAACAGCTTGGAAGTCACATCTGAGTTAATGAGTCAAGACCCTGATATCTAGTATGTTTAAAATGAAGTTTTTTGTTGAGTATTCAATTATATTCGGTCATGGTACCATGATCGATAACGCTGCGTAGTTATAAAATGTAAATTCACAACAGTAACGAGGTGTGCGCAAGCGAAAAATGTCGCATAGACTATGCTACTACGTAGTGCATGATTTTTTCTCCTACCCGGGCGACGGTAAGCACGCTCTCCGTCTGATCAAATGAGGGAATAGTTGTTAAGTTTCCTTATTCCTACCCAACAACTATTATTAGAGGATAAGTACATCTTACTGTATTCACAGTGGGTTACTGTACACACGTAAAACGACTTACTTGAACAAACAAGCCACCTACCTAAGTGACACCACTAACCAACAAATTAGTCAACACAGTGGAACCCGCCACACCAGATTGAGGTTATTGAAACTTAACCTTGAGAGCTCACATGTAGCCAAAACTGTGTAGCGCAGTTTGCTATTGTCCTATCCTATCAGACTTTCAACTGCATTAACTATGCCTGCTTTTAGTCGATTCCATCCTGTTCTGGAATAATCTTCAATATGAAGCCTCAAATATACCAGGTTATAGGTTTTCATGTGCAATTACTTGACCAACGATAAGAGCATTAGGTACAATGAATGGTTTTGAATGAAACCATTTAAAATGGATGAATTAGCAAGTGATCTCTATGAGACCAGCAATCTTAAAGAAGAAGTGAACAACTTCATTACACCAATGAGTTTTTAAAGGTGGTACTGTTAGTTTCACTATCTGTCTTCTATCATCTACAAATCAGAGTTATATTCTTTCCAGGAACAGTAGGAGAAGCCTACTATCGCGATGGGTGCCCATAACTGGTAAAAATGCTTATTTTCTACCGATATTATGTGATGCTGCGATCCAGATATGGCACGAGAAATGATGTGAAACAACCCTAGTTAGACGAGTAGGCACAAACTGCAGCGCAACAGAATGAGAGAGATCTGGGGAAAAACTTGTCCTGGGACTATTCAATTTCGGTTTCTATTCAAGGGATTTTAGTTCAAAGTGAAATAAGTGAAAAGCTGCCACAAAAACTGACACAAGAACCATTCTTCTGCACATCAAGAAAATCTTGGAAACCGTATCTGCTTAAAATCTCAGTGTAATAAAAGCCGATAAAATCTCTGTGTTGTTCCCTGCGTTTACCAGAACAACCAGTAAACAAGAAGTAACTGGTCGTTATTATCTGCGAAGTCAACTGCCTTAAGTACGAACATCAGTAGGTGGGACAGTCAGGTAGATGGGTGTTACAACGCCAGTTTGAACACAAACATGCTGCCAAACATCATGAAATGAAGTCTCACTTCTCAATGCATTGTGACGGCCAAAACCGTACTTTTGACTGAAACACCCGCAAAATACTTGAACGTGCAAACAACGGACTGATCTCCACATCGATCTTGAGGTAACTTGCCAGCCCAGTCGAAACAAATCAATCACAGAAGTCAACCGATCCAAATGTGAGGAAACCCTCAAAGCGACCAAAAAGGAGACCATGAATGAGTCAGATCAAGATAACTCTCAAACAGTCTACCAAACTTCCGTAATTAACCAATTGATGCAAAAAGAACGCCCCACTCCAATGAAAGCCGATCAGTCAGCAGTAGCAAAGAGCAACTCCCCAGTAAGGGCGAATCGACTAATCAGCGTGGAACACTTCCCTTCGATACACAGAAGTCAACCATTCAGACCAAGACATCCCTCGTCTGTTCGATTCAGCCGGTGTTTAGCCATCAAATTACGGTGACATCCACAAAACCCTTCGAGCTAAAGTCACCAAACCAAGTTCGGTGTTGGCTGCGTACTCGCCAAGTGACCAGTCAAGTTACAATTAGGAAAAGTACCATGAAGTGAGCATCTATGCACAACCAATTATTCACCTCATTTTCAAGCCCTGGTGTACCTGTGACAATATCTGACACCGAAGTATCTGCCAATGAAAACTCCAGCCCTCGAACCAGCTCGCTGTGAGCGTTCACATCTTAGGCCACAAACATTCCCCACGATTTCGGCGGACTAAGTCATTTGTGCGGACGGAGGTCAGTAGGATGTCTGTTTGTCTCGCTCCACCCTGAAGTTTCAGAGGGGTGCCCAACTCAACCTTACTTGGTCGCACCAACCACTTCTGCAAAGAAGCAGGAAAGAAGTGATAGGCATGCTGTCCAAAACTCTTGTGGGCAATACAGTAAGGATTGAAAATAAGGCACCGTGGCAGAGTATAGTTCCACATCTGCCCCTCTGTTTGATGCACCACAGTGGTAAATAATAATTGTCGTTGCATGTTACTGGTGCTGAATCACTGTTCGCTAAATGAAGTGAGGGATTTAATAGGTGTTTTACTATGCGCAACAAGCCTTGTGTCCGTTTAGAGGTGAAGGCTATATTCGCCTTATCAGCTTTGAAGTGTTATGCATTTTTGTGGTCATTCAATAGTCTCGAGAGCTCCGTTTCACCAGCCAGATCAGATTCCTATTAGTGGCGGTCAGCCATCTGCTTTCTGCCTGCTTTGTAGTCATATGTCCGGTACCAACATGCGTGTACGGCCATGGCCCGGAAAGATTACACCAAACTCAACAAAACCTGGTCCAAACGACAATGTAAGCTGCGCAAATCATAAGACGAAAACAAACATGCAAACAGCCTCAACTTTCCAACGGTGTTCAACGGGAAATTCTCGATTGGTCCCAAGAAAGAGAAGGAAAGAGTGGGCAAAGCGCTCGGCGGGCAGGAACCTGAGATCATTGGGAATTCGAAAGACAGAAAAGCACCAGAAATCTCCTGAGCAGGAAGGAAGGACAGTTCTTCACATAAAAGGGGCGACTGAAGAGTTGCATCGTCTTAGCCCTGCTTGAAACCTGCGTGACGTTACTGGTACCAGGTGACGCTTCAAGTGTGACAGCCTTGCCTGGGAACTCTGCTTTGAATGTGAGATGTACACCCCTTAATCGAATAGAGGCGGCCTATTTCTAACCATGGTCAGTCCTACAGTACTGGCGACACTGAATCACTTAGTGCTTACCTGGTTCGTGCTGAAGTTTGATAAACACAAGGTTCAGTTAATCGAGTCTCGGGACTCGGCAAGCAGGAAGAAATCAGAATTTTCACCCAATCCTGTTAACGAAATCACCAGGGTGTGTAATTCAAGAAACGTATCAGATGAGAAGTCTAGGGGGATCAATAAGCTACCTAGGCGCTATCATGAGGTAGAAAGCCAAATAACTGCTCGCGGTAACCTAGTATTTCTCAAGAGCGTAATGGACCACCATGGGTTTCCACACAGAATTTAGTACAAGATCGACAGGATGTCACGAGAAATTTTGTTTTTATACACAGCCCAAAGCAATCAAACCCATCGCATCTACAAGGCAACTCCGTCGTTCGAACTAGTTCCATAAGGTGAAAACAAAGTCTTCAAGGTCAATATTCTTCAATACTGGGGATACATAGGATATGCCATTGACATCTAACATACTTGGTGCTCAAGAGGAGCGAAGGGAGTCTACCATTCTGTACCTATAATGCTTGGGAAGCTCATAGGCTAAGAACGAAAAGCCCGTCTTCACAGTCTGAATTTCAAACTCCGAGGACTTTCGGAAGACACTGATTCTGCAGAATATCAATAAATAAACTACCAATGATCATTTTTGAACACATTCATGGACGCGAAATTCGAAGTCAGATGAAAACCCTTGCTTTGCGGTTAAGAAGATGACGATCACAAACTTTGGTTAACCAACGTAGTGTTTCCTGTCCAGTTTCATGACGGCAGTTATATTTATAGCTTTCGGTTAAATAAGAACCAACGGTGCACTGACTGTCGACACGGAGACCGGTTAAGCGAAGGCTTTACTGAGTTGACAGCCCATCCGAAACCATGAGAATTTTTAGATGTTTTCCCACACATTTTCTACCAAGTATCATAATTCACGCATCTGCATCCCACTTCCTCAACAGAATGTCCACAGTGCTCTTCTGTAATCACGTTGAGCCCCCTTAATAGGCAGATGCCGCATAAAGCCGTGATTTGCAGACTTGCGTCTTTCTACGTCAATGCTGGATTCACCATACACTGAGGAAACAAGACCGTTATGAATAACGGGAAAACTTCTTGACTTATGTATCAGACTAGGAAATAAACTATTTTATGGCCTTAAAAAAGGAAGCACCACCCCAGTAGATAGATTTACATACGCGCACTGGCAAGCTGAGCTGAACTAATACGTAAGCTAAGTGAGATTCGCCTCCATACTTCGACATGTATGTGACAAATTTACCAGGGGACATGAAAATCTGTTCAGGTTTTTCAACAGAAAGAATCTGCGAATCGCGCGAAATTGCTATTGAATGCGCTCAAACATGCACGAATACGTTGGAAAGCACGCCTGACATATACATTGACGCTAATAAAGTTACCAAAGAGCACCTAAGACCTGGCTCTTTATCATTACCGCTCCGTAAATTCCGGTCATGACAAATAATCGCGATCGCCGACCTATTTTGGTTCTTTCAGGGTTGTTGCTGGAACCAAAGAGAAACACACGTCCTTACTCAAGGTACAGGTTGATGGAGAAACCCACGGAAAATACATTTCCCTTCTGCTAACCCGTAGGCAAAACTATTGCATCACTGTGGAAATGAGTAAAAAGAGTGATCTACGAGTCCTAAATACATAACTTAAGGTGCTGGTCTTTATGGTTTTATTCGGCACACAAAGCTAGTGGAAAGTGGTCAAGTTATTCAAACCATTCAGAACTTCATCATGCTAAACTGATTTACACATGCATCTTCCTCGTTGGACATTCATCGAGGGGATATCTTTCTCCCGGTTTTTAACATTTGGGCACATGAAAAACCTCACAAAACCTAGAACTGTGTTGTTGCCATTCTCCACATGAAAATGATGCCGTTTAGTGAGAGAAGGGTTTTTCTCCTGCTTCCTGCTATCGCACTCGCTTCCATCTCATAATGAAAACCTGTTGACCCCTCATAATCAGCAAACTGTCGACATTATCATATATTTATTCCCGGGTATAAAGGCACATACCACTTCCACAGGCACGAATAAATTCACATGCAAACTGCATGTTGCTTAGGAGCAAGCAGCTTCAATCGCTGAGATGTTTGTATTGCACATCAATGAAATGTAGGACGTCAACAAAATAAATATGTAAAAATTGACACCGTGGACGGTTGGAGTTATTGTCTCCGCATTAACAAAAATCAGAGTTTGCACTTAAGCACTACAAGGGTTGCCCGGAGAAGAAACAGAGCCTGAAGCTAACCCTTTCCTTGTTGTGTTCATAATATTCTGCCTTCTACTAGTGACGAAAGGCTGGTGCACGAATATGTGTATATGGTTTGTTACTTGTTGTTCGTTAATG